CGCTAAACAGTCCTACGACGCGGGTTATCAAGTGGATCGCTCAAGCCAGCCATGTCCTATCTAGTTAGGTGCGCGTTCACATTAAAGGGGTGGTACATGTATTTGGAGCATTCGACCAATCACAAACATGGACAAGCATACTGACAGCGCAGCGTCATACTTCCTGAATGAAAAGTCAACTATATAATTAGACAATTATGAAGACGTTAAACTTTAAACATCCATGACTTAAAAACTTTATCCAGGATAAAAGCCACAGAGCTGCACCTGCAAGGTGAATACAGCTGGTAACAGAACAAGTGTTTGAATGCGTACATTAACAGGTTTATGATATCACTGTCTAAGACACTAGTGGATCTGACTTTAATTACATTTGTCTCAAGTGTTTCGTCAACTTAATGTGTTGCTTAAAATAATACTTCTGCATACAGTATGTGACACTGTGAGAGTTGCACGGCCCGATACGGCTCAGCTGACTCAGATAAGAAAATATATGATACATTATGAACTGTACTTAATGTTACTCTGATCCGGTTACTTATGTTGTGGCAGATATTTAAGTAAGCTTTCTTAACGCTAATGTTATAATAGTCAGATTGCTCTGAAGATGGGAGGTGATATTCTATTAATGTTCACGTTCACATAGTCGGTGATTTTTGCCGGTCGTCTTTCCTGCAACGGGCAGCTTTTCTGTATTTCCTTTCTCCTGTAATATGACTTGATCGCTTTAAACTCCGCACACTGAGCTCTGATTGGTCAGCAGGCAGTGCTTTCACTGAGTTGATCTCTTAGCCTGCAACCTAACCTGGTCCCGACCAGGTTAGCCGCACAGCATAAGTTACCATGGAGATCTAGCCTGCTAAAAAGAGAACCAGCTTCGTAGGACTGGAAACCCAGAGTTTTCCCTGAAGTTAGCCGGCTAAGCGAAAATCCTGCTTCGTAGTATACCCCCCTGGAACCTCTCATACAATAATACAATACAAAGTGTGTGTGTGTGTGTGTGTGTGTGTGTGTGTGTGTGTGTGTGTGTGTGTGTGTGTGTGTGTGTGTGTGTGTGTGTGTGTGTGTGTGTGTGTGTGTGTGTGTGTGTGTGTGTGTGTGTGTGTGTGTGTGTGTGTGTGTGTGTGTGTGTGTGTGTGTGTGTGTGTGTGTGTGTGTGTGTGTGTGTGTGTGTGTGTGATGGATCGTTGGAGCTATGTGCAACTCTAGACATATGCTCGAACGGGAGCTGCCTGGACGCTGCGATCATGTTGCGCACTATCCGAGCTGAGTGTGCTGACTTTTCGTACAATGTCCCACTGTCTGGCTTCCTGCATAAAGTCAAGTGCTCGGCGCAGTTGTCGGCGAAATTTCACTCCTCTGTTTTCATTGAAACAGCTCCTTTTATCCGTTAGCGCAGCTAGCTAGCACCAGATGCTAACAACAACAATACACGTAAGGTCTCTCCCGGTCCTCCCGATAGCCAGTCGGTGCCTGCCGGTGAGCGTGGAAGTGTGGTCTGCAGCAAGCGGGCGGCAGGAGCGGGGCTGTCAGCATCAGCTTGTAGATGGTATTTTAAACTCGATGCGCTCTGAAACTACGGGGTGGCCGAGGACAAAAAATGCACATGCGTTAATCGCGTTAAAATAATTAGTTATTAACGCGTTAACTTGACAGCCCTAATATTATTGTATCTATCATTTTGTATTGTAATGATGTACTGTTGCCTCAGTGCTCCGGGAGAGGGGTGGTTGGGATGGGGCGGGGTTAAGGGAAAGTGAGAAAGGGTTCTTTTGGGGGGGAAAAATGAAAATGCCTTAATTGCTGTAATGCACTTTTAAAAAATGTTCCCATGTGAATACAAATATTTTAAAAAAAAAAAGAAAAAAAAAGTTGATCAATCAATTTAGCGAAAATTAAGGCTATTCAAAAGTATTAAAAAGTATTAAACAACATTTTCCAAGGTATTAAATGTTGTAGCTTGTTTTCAATAAGTATATAATTAGTCCAAAGAGGTTGTATTCTACAGTCTGCCTGAATGTAATCATTGCGTAGGTGTGTAGTGTGATTCTGTGTAGTTTATTTATGGCATCCCGTTGGATTTGACGTCATCTGAACAGAAGTAGTAAAAAATTGTGCATTTGAAAAAGGGATGAGGAACAAGCCGGGGGAAGAGTGTTTGATGCAAAGTTGTCTTAAAAAAATGTATTGTTAAAGTAAAGAAGCATTTTATGTGTTTAACTACAGACAACAATGGCAGAGAGGAAACAAATAAATGTGACATTCCCCCCTGAAAGTTGTCTTGTCTACCCACAATGATCGGGGGGAACACTCTTTGTTGTTCATTTGTTTTGCCGTAGGCTTTTTAAAATAAGCTGAATTATGTGAAAATAAATGTTTGCAAAGTTGAAAGATATATATATATATATATATTCACTCAGAATTGAGTCTCCTCGGGTCTTTCTTTATTAGCTTTGAATACCTGTGGCCTTGTGGGAGAACATGTCAAGTAAGGTAAATAGATGAATGCACATATTTATTATAGATATACATAGATCATCAAAGACAAAAATAAATCCCCGTATTGAATTTGCAATGTGCAGTATTTACTGATACGGCTGGGTTCATAATAACATTTGCATGTCTAGAAGTAGGTAAAAGCCCATATGTACTGCTGCAGGAATGCCAAGGGACAACATTTCGGCACTTTATTTTCTCTGAGGAATATTTGCAATTTTGCATTATGCAGTTAAAACTCAAACATTTTTAAAGTCCTGAAGATCTAATTATCCCTAAAGAATGTGAAAAGGTGATATGGCGATATGGCCTTTATGGTTTGACTATAATAGAAAACAAAACAAAAAGGAATTGGTTTGGTGAATAATTATTTCAAACCGGCACGATGTAGGAATAATTCTTATTTGTCTTACATTACATTACATGACATTGCATTTAGCTGACGCTTTTATCCAAAGTGACTTACAATAAGTGCGTTCGACCAACAAAATACAAACTTGAAGAAAACAGAATCATATACGTACATCAGGTTTCATAGAGCAAAAACATTTCAAGTGCTACTCAACTGGCTTTAGATAAGCCAGCCCTTTATTAGTATATAAGTGCTTTGTTAATAGTTCTATCGCTCGAAGTGGAGTCGAAAGAGATGAGTTTTCAGTCTGCGCCGGAAGGTGTGTAAGCTATCTGCTGTCCTGATGTCAATGGGGAGCTCATTCCACCATTTAGGAGCCAGGATAGCAAACCCACGTGTTTTTGCTGATGGGAACTTGGGTCCCCTTCGCAGTGAGGGTGCAGCGAGCCGTTTGGTTGATGCAGAGCGGAGTGCACATGCTGGGGTGTACGGTTTAACCATGTCCTGGATGTAGGAAGGGCCAGATCCATTCGCAGCATGGTACGCAAGTACCATTGTCTTGAAGTGGATTCTAGCAGTTACCGGAAGCCAGTGAAGGGAGCGGAGGAGCGGAGTGGTGTGGGAAAATTTAGGAAGGTTGAAAACCAGACGAGCCGCTGCATTCTGGATGAGCTGCAGAGGTCGGATGGTACATGCAGGTAGACCAGCCAGGAGGGAGTTGCAGTAGTCTAGGCGTGAGATGACTAGAGCCTGGACCAGAACCTGCGTTGCTTTCTGGGTCAGCTGGGGACGTATCCTCCTGATGTTGAGTCTTCACTCATACATGGTCTCATAGTAAAATATTGTTACACAACAGTGTTTGCATTGCACGAGAGAGGATTAGGGCCACCGGCAAATTTTGTTGGGCGATTTTCACATGTGGCCCTAATCCTGAATCCTAAAGCAATGTGCTTCAAGGATAAACCATGAGGAAACAACGTTGGGCCCCGCCAACCAGAGGTAGCTTTTTCTTAAGAAATCTGAATATGGAGCGATAACTGTCAGTCTGATGTGTTTAGGAGTCTATGGGTTTAAAGTAGTTGAAGAACTTTTAAATCCACGTCAGAGGACTCATTTATCCAGCTGAAATATAAGGTAGAAAATGTCCAACGTGAATTATAGAGATATATATAAAAAACGCAAAAGAAACGGAATAAAAAGTAAAATAAACACAGAGCCCAAAAAGGACCAAAAAGGAGTCATGGTCATTAATATTTTATCTGTTTAGAGCAAAAATACCAGTATGTAGCAGGTATGCTGAGTTAATATTTGATGACTCATCGATCCCACAGGTAAACTACACTAAGGAGTACCATAAGTTGAAGATCTGACTTTTTGATGAAAGTATGAGGAACCAAGGGGTACACTTTTTTTTGAAAACCCCAAAATTAGCAAGTTCTTTACCCTTGTGACTTTTTGTGGTCCAAGGTGTCATACTGGAAGACACACACAGGACCAACAATAACAGACAATAGTTTAAAGTTAAGCAGGTGTGGAAAGAATGACATTGTGTTTGAAAAGTCCCCACTGGCAACTGGCACAACAATCCGGATCAAACACAGTGCAAACAAAGTCAATCTAAGGTCATGTACAATTCTTAACATGTTTATCTCCTTGTCACTGTCGGTCTTTGAAGGACCGTCACATCCCAGAAGGCCATTCCAGTTTGTGGAGATGTTGAATAGATTGCTATTGTATGTCTGTTGAAGTAAATTGGCTGCATTTCTATGCCAATTTTCCATTCTTAACAACTCCTCAAAGCGCGACATGTGTCAGCATTCACCCATTCAAACACATTGCTACAGGTGAACAGGCTCACCTAACATCCACACACACTCACACACTGTGGCCATGCCATCGGGAGCTATTTGGGGTAAAGTATCTTTCACTAGGATACATCAACATGTTGACTGCAGGGGCTGGGGATCAAACCACCGACCTTTCTGATTGGATAACAACCATCTACCTCCTGGGCCACAGCTGCCCTTACCTGGGATTTATTGTTTTGTTTTTGTTGTTGAGTTACATTGGTATTGATTTCAAAATGTTCTGGTATCATAACATCGCTCATAGCTGAGGTACCAACCCTCAGCAGAGAGCTCTCCGGTGTTACCTTTGAGTACATGGCTCCACTCAGGACCAGCCCGTTGCGGATCCAGATGATAGACGCAGCAGGTTTGGCGTTGTCTGCGTGACATGTGAGGTTGAAATGGTCACCGGCCCGTAAACTCATCACCGGGGCCCCCACGATCACCGGGTCATCAGGAGGAACTGTGGAGGAAGAGGTAGATGTTACGGTTATGTTTCGGTGAACTGTACTTATGCTTTTGTTCGAAAGAAAAACAGCATGTTTAAACTAGTACCAAGACATGCCAATACATCAATATGCACAATAAGGGTACATACACTGAAACACTGACTTTAATTTAATGTATTATGTCAACACATTTCTCATACATTTAATTAAAGTCAACATTTCAGTTTGTTCAGATATACTCTCTCAAATATGATCCTGTGTTTCCCACACATAGACTTTAACTTTCTTAGGTGCAAGAGAGAGAACCACTGCATCCGTGATCGATGAACTAATGGACGATCTCCCCTCTCTCTACCCCTTCCTTTTCTGTTTGTTCTGCTATTTTGAAAAGGGTCTCCTGACAATCACACATGCTCTGCAGAAAAACACAGAAGAAGATGAAGAAGTAGTCCTGGCTCAATTCCGTCAAATATTAGTTCAGGGAACGGTTTTGCTATGTCTCAATTCGGACACTTCCCCCCATCACCCCAGCAACAAACTGTAACGGTACCGCAGCATCAGGACAAAAACCACCAGAGCGTGGGACTTGCGTTTTTCATTGGATATCCAAACCCAGTTTACAGCGTTGCTGTGCCCTCAACGAGGTCACAATCTCCACTCTTAGCTAGCTAGCAATAATCGTTCCCACTAAATCATTACATAGTGCCCAAGTGGCCCAATTAAATTAACGGTGGCTTATTTTCAATACCAGTAAAGTAGTACATTACTATAGTATAAAATGCATGTATAACTTCTCATTGTAAAGTGCTGTGTTTACCGGAGCTATTAACCCAATTAACGATGGTCATGAAACTTCCGTTGTGTAGCCATGGTGATTGTGCAGCGTTTCGACTCTTTACAGAAGAATGCGATTTAAGACAGCATTAGTATCATGAACATCTCTGTACGCACTTCTGCAACACAACTGGATTTAACTTCACTCTAAGTAGTACGCCTATGTTCTTAACAATGTGAACCTCGGAGACCCAACACTTTCAATAAGTTATTTGCCATCACATACAGTAAGGAGGCTTGGCTGGAGGTTCTGAATCAGAAGATCTGTTTGAGGTATGCCAGATTCACAAAGAAATCAGAGCGACAGAGGCCTTAAACACATAGCTCTGCTGAGGACACACAGTTTCCTGTAATATAATGAAAATGGCAACTGGTTTTCGGAGAAAACCTAAATTCTGTCTGGAAATATGATTATGTGCACAGTACTTGCATTTGATGAGTGTTAATAACTAATTTTCTCTCATCAAAATAGTTTTGTTTCATTGGTTGACTGCTGAAAATAAGTTAAAAAGAAAGCTGACAATCTGCTTATCGGTTTAGAACCAGGAGAAAGTTTTGCCTCACACCTTTAGAAGAAGTGGAACATAGAGTACTTCACAGATGGCGTTGCTCACCACAAACTCAACAGTTTTTTCGTTTGGCTTTGTAACGATTTTCCAATGAAGGATGTGAGCAGTCTTTGAGATATTCTACAAACAAGCATACAGGACGAAAACAAACCATAACCTCCTTGGCAGAAATAATAAACATACCGCACACAAATTATTTATTACATGTGCCACAACAAGAGGAAGGGAGCCTTTCAGCCTTTGGCCTGTGAGTATAGAGTAAACAGAGCAGTTACATAACTGCTCATCGTATGTGTAGAACTGAGATCTATTTCAATGTTACTGCTTTGGTTGTTTTTTTTCATTCCCTCGAGTTGTGGATTTGATGATTTTAGGGTTTCCATAAGAGCCTGAAGCTCTGTTTTTAACTGTAATTGAATTAGTACTTAGCAAAGAGTTTTGTTTGAAAGTGGACCTACAGTATTATGCTATATTGGAAACATATATTGTAGGGCCATACCTATACAAAACATGTCTGTGAAGTTTTTTGCTTAAAATACCAAACAGATCACCCTTTGTAGCCATGCCTCATACTGCTCATACCCCTCTTTTGCAGCCCTGTTAGAGAAACGAGGATTTTGGGTCCTTAGCTTTAAAAAAAATAAATAAAAGAGGAGGCGGATCTAATGCCTGATCAGAATTCTACCGGAGATAAAGTTAAATTCTGCTGTGATAAAATGCCATCCTGTTCTAAACCACATCAAGGATTATTTCTGAAATAGTATGGAGCTCAAATGCTTTTTCTCACAATGCTTATCACAAGGTGAGTTCTTTTTTATTTCCTGCTTTTTAAACACGTGCTCTACAGTACAGGTTAGCTCTGAGTGTTAGCGAGGCTTGCTAATGTAAACAAAGACGAGATTACGTCCAAAACACGTCAGGCATTGTTTCTGATAGCAACTCTCTGTGGGTCTGCTGCCGATTTGACGTCATATCGGCAGCAAATCTGTATCCGCTCGTTGTACCCTCGTTTTTAAAAGATTTGGGTACGGAGGAAAAGAGAGAGGGTTTTATTTTCTGACGCTGTGTGAGTTCCCTGACACACCGGGGACACATATTTATGTATAAAAGACATAAAAAAGTGCATTTTGCATGAGAGGTCCCCTTTAAGAACAGACCAATTATATTTTCTCATGTATCATCTCTGTCATGTGCTCTGGTAACAGATGTGGGCATGATGATACTGTGTTTCTCTCTATGGAGGAGTATGGGCGATGGAAGAACACATTATTTTCTTTAATCCTTTATGTGAAATCAAAAATGTCTGTTTGTGCTCAATGTGTTAACAGTTCTCATGAGGTCCATGACAATGTTCTTTATATCTATAGCGAGGGGTCACTTTAAAAAGAGGCCCTGATACCCACCCAGTTTGTGCTTGATCTGAATAGACAAGCAAAATGTAGCTGGCTGTATCTGGAAATAATATATGTCGGATATAATATATCCCTTGATATAATACATTATTCCAGTTTGACAATATTACAAGCATTTAACAATTTAAAAACAAACTTTTTGGATATCTTAGGTGGATGTTGTTTTGTGGAGCAATTTTGGAGTCCTTAACCTGATATTGAGTTAGCATTTTAGAAAAACTGGTTCCCTTGTCTCAAAGTCAACAGTTTTTTTGAATGTCTTTTTGGTTAGATGCCTGAAATGATATATGCCTTTAATAAAAGTGCACAAGATTATCATTATTTGTGTTCAACGACAAAAATAATATGTCAGTAAACACCGTTATGAATGCCTTTAGCTTAGCAGTTTTGACTGGAAGTCATGTCACTGTGATGTGGTAACATTGGATATTATCTTGCTGAACAGAACGTGTACATATAGTTATCATAAACGTGTGTTCACAGATCTTATTAGCTGCAATAATACAAAGTTAAATAGAAAAATTACATTATATTTTGCTGAGGTAACCCCTTGCTATGCTAACTTCCGGGTCTGCCTAAAAAAGACCTAATCACTGCTTCACTCCATAATGGCAGAAAACTAAATCATTTCAGAAAATGCACTAAATACTGTCTATGAAAATGATGTCTAATAAGAAGTCAAATGTATTTTATGTCACTACATTTGAAAGCTTCTGATACACAGTTCAATCAATGAAAGATGTCATAGGAGCAAATATTGTCAAACTGAATACTTATATATATATAGTCATTTCAAAGTGAATTGATCGTGCTTTCACCAAATCTATGAATCCTCTCAGATAAATACCACACCTGAGTGATTACTGAGAGGCAAAAGCCAAATAGAACTTCAACTTTGAGGAAGAAGCCAAGAAGCAGGATGGAGCTGATGGTGAGCCGCTCAAAGACCCTGATTACATTCTTGTATGAATGGATCTGATCAGCCTGGATTTTATTCAAACTTGAGTGAATTATTGATTGAGCTCTCAGCTCATTAGATAGCAGATCTGGGGCAAGCCTTAATCAAAGGCAACATGCAGATGGCACTTCCTGAGCGCTAAGAAGAAAGATGGGGGACACTAGTTCAATACAGCACTTCCTCTAATACTCAATATGCACATTTCAACTGATTATAGAAAGTCTGATGCATGCTACAGTCTGTACTTTTGATTTCTAGCTCACTGCACTGTGTTTGAGTCAAATGTTAATCAAGGAAAGCAAAGGCCCCAAACCACAAATCAATTTTTCATACCCACATAGCCACAGATAAGTCTTTGTAATCAGCTTCTTAAAAAGTATGGAGAAAGGGATTTGATAAACTGATTCGCCTGGTTCTGCATATGTCATTTTAATGCATGTGGATGTTTTGTATCGGCTCCCATCTGCTACCAAAATTATTTTTAACAGTGGTCTCAGAAGGAATATGAGAATGAAGGGGAGGCGGGAGCTGAAGGAAAAATATCCATCTGATTTGTGTTGTATTAGTTAATGAGCAAGCCGTGCACTGACTATTACTGAACTGAACTGAAGATATGTTTATTAAACAAAGTGCTTCAGTAAAACTAAGAAATGTACTTCTCTTAGAACAATACCCAATTTGTTGGATTAAAAAACGAATGAAAGCAATACATTTGACACTTGAAGGTGTATAATCACTAGCAAACAGGTTAATTAATAAAAAATGACATGTGACACCTATTAAGTTGCTTTTATATGTATTAGAGGTATTTTCTGTTTACTTCCTAGTTATTAGAGATTCTTGATTTATTATGTTTATTTTTAATTTGTGGGTACATTTAAGAAAACCTAGTTTCTTTAAACAACTCCTGTGTCCTGTTGCCTTACTGCTTGGTGCCTAACAGTTGGAGCTGTATAAAACTGTACAGTTTCTCATCGATTATCCTCTTGTGTGCTTTTTCCATGACATGACCCATCCTACATGACATCTCACTTTGATCAGCTGTAGCTGCCTTCCTCTCTGTACTCTGTGTTATTGATGATCACTCACCACTGAATTATTTCATTTTCTCTGCAGAGCAGATGTATAATTTTATATTTTGCTTCTGTTGTACCGAAGCTTGTTGGCTCTTTGCTGTGTGAAGCCTTGACGGAAAACAAATTGGGATCTCTAAACTCTGTGAGAAAAATCACTTCTTCCTT